TTGCTATAGATCTGGCTCCGTTAGAGGGTCTGGTGGTTGCGTTGTCGGCTCTGGTCGGCTCTGGTCGGCTGTGGTCGGCTGTGGTCGCCGGCGGCGCTGTCGTATTGGGAATTGCAGTAGATCTGGCTCCGTTAGAGGGTCTGGCGCTTGCGTTGTCGGCTCTGGTCGGCTCTGGGTCGGCTGTGGTCGGCTGTGGTCGGCTGCGGTCGCCGGCGGCGCTGTGTTAGTGGGAATTGCAACAGATCTGGCTCCGTTAGAGGGTCTGGCGGTTGCGTTGTCGGCTCTGGTCGGCTCTGGTCGGCTGTGGTCGCGGCGCTGTCTTATTGGGAGTTGCTATAGATCTGGCTCCGTTAGAGGGTCTGGTGGTTGCGTTGTCGGCTCTGGTCGGCTCTGGGTCGGGTGTGGTCGGCTGTGGTCGGCTGCGGTCGCCGGCGGCGCTGTGGTATTGGGAATTGCAACAGATCTGGCTCCGTTAGAGGGTCTGGTGGTTGCGTTGTCGGCTCTGGTCGGCTCTGGTCGGCTGTGGTCGGCTGTGGTCGGCTGTTGTCTGGTGGTTGAGAACTGGGTCCGTTAGATGAGAACTGGCGACTTTGTAGTACATCTTTAGTACGCGGAGTATCTGGCGAGGTGGAAGATGAGAACTGGTGACTTTGTAGTACAACTTTAGTACGCGGACTAGCTGGGGAGCTGGAAGATGAGAACTGGCGACTTGGTAGTACAACTGTACGCGGAGCAGCCGGGGAGCTGGAAGCTGAGAACTGGCGACTTTGTAGTACAACTTTAGTACGCGGAGCAATCCGTGGAGCTGGAAGCTGAGAACTGGCGACTTTGTGGTACAACTGTAGTACGCGGAGTAGCTGTGGCGACTTTGTAGTACAACTTTAGTACGCGGAGCAATCTGTGGAGCTGGAAGCTGAGAACTGGCGACTTTGTAGTACAACTTTAGTACGCGGAGTAGCTGTGGAGCTGGAAGCTGAGAACTGGCGAGTTTCTAGTACAATTTATTACGCGGAGCAATCTGTGGAGCTGGAAGCTGAGAACTGGCGACTTTGTAGTACAACTTTAGTACGCGGAGTAGCTGGGGAGCTGGAAGATGAGAACTGGCGACTTGGTAGTACAACGTTCGTACGCGGAGTAGCTGGGGAGTGGGAAGATGAGAACTGGCGACTTTGTAGTACAACTTTAGTACGCGGAGTATCTGGCGAGTTGGAAGCTGAGAACTGGCGACTTTGTAGTACAACTTTAGTACGCGGAGCAATCCGTGGAGCTGGAAGCTGAGAACTGGCGACTTTGTAGTACAACTGTAGTACGCGGAGTAGCTGTGGCGACTTTGTAGTACAACTTTTGTACGCGGAGCAATCTGTGGAGCTGGAAGCTGAGAACTGGCGACTTTGTAGTACAACTTTAGTACGCGGAGTAGCTGTGGAGCTGGAAGCTGAGAACTGGCGAGTTTCTAGTACAACTTTAGTACGCGGAGCAATCTGTGGAGCTGGAAGCTGAGAACTGGCGACTTTGTAGTACAACTTTAGTGCGCGGAGCAATCTGTGGAGCTGGCAGCTGAGAACTGGCGACTTTGTAGTACAACTTTAGTACGCGGAGTAGCTGGGGAGCTGGAAGATGAGAACTGGCGACTTGGTAGTACAACGTTAGTACGCGGAGTAGCTGAGGAGTGGGAAGATGAGAACTGGCGACTTTGTAGTACAACTTTAGTACGCGGAGTATCTGGCGAGTTGGAAGATGAGAACTGGCGACTTTGTAGTACAACTTTAGTACGCGGAGTAGCTGGGGAGTGGGAAGATGAGAACTGGCGACTTTGTAGTACAACTTTAGTACGTGGAGAATCTGGCGAGTTGGAAGATGAGAACTGGTGACTTTGTAGTACAACTTTAGTACGCGGACTAGCTGGGGAGCTGGAAGATGAGAACTGGCGACTTGGTAGTACAACTGTAGTACGCGGAGCAGCTGGGGAGCTGGAAGCTGAGAACTGGCGACTTTGTAGTACAACTTTAGTACGCGGAGCAATCCGTGGAGCTGGAAGCTCAGAACTGGCGACTTTGTAGTACAACCGTAGTACGCGGAGTAGCTGGGGAGCTGGAAGCTGAGAACTGGCGACTTTGTAGTACAACTTTAGTACGCGGAGTAGCTGTGGAGCTGGAAGCTGACTTTGTAGTCCAACTTTAGCACGCGGAGCAACTGGCGAGTTTCTAGTACAACTTTAGTACGCGGAGCAATCTGTGGAGCTGGAAGCTGAGAACAGGCGACTTTGTAGTACAACTTTAGTACGCGGAGTAGCTGGGGAGCTGGAAGATGAGAACTGGCGACTTGGTAGTACAACTTTAGTACGCGGAGTAGCTGGGGAGTGGGAAGATGAGAACTGGCGACTTGGTAGTACAACTGTAGTACGCGGAGTAGCTGGGGAGCTGGAAGCTTAGAACTGGCGACTTTGTAGTACAACTTTAGTGCGCGGAGCAATCTGTGGAGCTGGAAGCTGAGAACTGGCGACTTTGTAGTACAACTTTCGTACATTATGCCCCATATTGCGGACGCGCGACAACCGCTGGTGTTGTTGGCTAGTTGTGGCTGCGCACACCTGTGCGCACAATACCTCGTACATCCGTCGCGCACATCACTCTCTTACACCTTCTCTCCCACCCCTCTGTTGTCGGAAGCTGATATCACTTCCTGACAAGGCCGTGTTGTAGAAGCTATTGAGACTCTGACTGCTTTGCGCTTTTGAAACTTAAGATTCGTAAAGATTCATATGTGGGGTTATCCGGTCCTTCAATGTTTGTTTTGTATGCTTATCAGCTATTTTATGATCATGTATAACCATCGCACTCATTGCAGATGCGCCAAGCAGAAACTGTCAGCGGTCGCAAAGGAATGTATGATACAGCCATTGAAAATTGTTAGTATACGTACGTGAGTACGATGAAAAATGCACTCTCAGGGTGTAGTGTTCTGCAGAGCAGGACGCTGTGAGAGTGCACATTTTTGACATTTCTGCCAATTCTGTTTGCTGGGCTTGCTCTATTTGCTGATCACATGACATTCATGGAATTGTGAAAGTTGTAATTTTGCAAGGCTTTGCTTTCAGAGTCATCTTCTGAGTTGCGTTGCTCTTATTGAACGCAGTTCAGTCAGTACATCAGAACCAGAAGGCAAAGAGTTGCAAATCCTAAATGACCTACTTCTAGTTCAATTCTAACTGATTCAAATTCAAATCTAATTGTATTGTATAGCCAATACGATTTTGACTCTGACTCAACTATCAATTACTTCTACTTTGATTTTGATTCAACTCCATATAAAAATAGTTCTAAATTAATCTATATAACTTATCTACAACCCAATTCCTATGCAACGCAGATTTGGATCTAATACAATTCTATTATTCTTCTAATCTAATTGTGGCTTCTTACGCAACTCTAAATTTACTTCTAGACAGTGCGCGTTGTTCTTAAAATGAAAGCTTTTATATTACTTCTGCTTTGTTTCTGAAAGTTTACTGTCTCAAAAATTACTCTCAGCAACACCCGCTCTCTAGAATGAAATCAGAAGTTAATTAAAATTCAATTTGCACTGAATCAAAGGTAAGTTTACATAGAATTAGAATCGAATTAAATTGAACAAATTGAACTGGAATTAATCAAAATTAAACTTGAAATCAAAAAAGAATCAACCTGCAATTGACAGGCAATTAAAGTTGACTTGTACAGGGTTTAATTTGCATTAAACTAAACATTGATGACAAATAACTGTAATATGAATTGGGCTTAACTAAATTGAACAAACACTTTCATCAGTGAAATTAGAACTGAACTAGAACTTAGAGTAAAACTGAATTGGAAATGTTTAGCCCACAGCCCGATTAGAGTTAGATTGACATTGAATTAGAATCTAAGTTTCACGAAAATTCAGAATATTAGTGCATTTGCAGTAGAACTAAGTTGGAATCAAATTAACAACTAAGAATCTAATTCGGCTTAAATCAAAATTATTGCAAAAGTAAATTTCAGGTTCAACGTAAATATAAATTAGAATTCAATCAAAGTCAAATTCGAATTAACAATTCACATTGAAGTTTAATTAGACGTAAATGAATATTAAAATTAGGGATCAATAGAACTAAATTAGAATTAAAGTTACAACATCTTTTTTGTGACTTCACTGTTGATTCTAGAAATAGGTTAAACTTGTAAAACAATTTCAATGAGAATTGAATTAGACTTAAAACCGAAATCAGTTAGAAATAGATGATAGTTTGATTCTTTTCAATTCAATTCTAAATCAACTTCTAAGTGATTTAGACTTGAATTAGATTTGTTTAGTTTATCACCCGGCTGGAATTGAATGTGAACTCAGTTAGAACCGAATGAGAATAAAGTACTATCAAGCAAGACTATTCCCGGATCACACAAAACCTTGAAAAAAGGCGGGGAAACACAAAAAATAATCAGATCCATGGCAGAGGAGAGGCTGGACAGGGAACATCGGGTTTTCTTGTCCATTGTTTTGGACACCCATGTTTCCAATGCAACGCGAGCCTCAAGGCATTCATCAAAATATTGCCTTCAGTTGGTTTTCCATGTTTCCAATGAATGCATCCAAGGCCAAGGTGGGTTTTGGTGGGGGCTAGAATATATGTATTTAGATATATACATAATCAATCAGATGTTGGACCAACATCCGTCTCTGAATACACTCTTGCAAAGGCAAAGTGACTCGAGCTAGCTGCGCCAAGCTTTCCCAAAGCTCAACGCCACCGCAGTGACAACGGCCTTGTCATATGCTTGTGGCCTTTCGCAGTCTGGATTCCTTAGCAATCAGTCACAATTTAGCTGACATTAGTCAATTTGTACGGACCTTGTGCACACTATCAGGGGTAACTTGCTTGACTGCTCGCGGCACACTGTTCGCGCATGAATGATTTTGTCTGAAAAACAAAAAGGGCTACCGCCTTTGATGTTGAAACATCTTGGAGTTGTACTTTTGTTTCCTTGCTCTGCCATTTGCTTTTGCTTTGGGAGTCTCAGTGTGCGTTTAAGAGCTTCACGCTCTGGGCAAGGAATGATTGATGTCTCAAGTCAATGGCCATTCCCTCCAAGAGCAAGTGCTTGCAACTTGCGCGTTGGTCTTTGCGGCGCCACTTCTATTGGTGAAGGGCGTAGCGCCCACAATGAGAACGAAAGCTGCAGCTCTGGTCACTGCAGTTCAGGCGCAACTTAGGATTAAGCTTCATTTCCGAAACTGCCTTACAGAAACTCTGCGCGCTTCAGGAACTACTGTTCAGAAACCCTTCAGTTAGAGGGGGTTGGGGCCAACATGGTTGGGGGCCAACATAGTTTTGGAGCCTTCAGCAGGGCAACTGCGAAAGTTGAAGTCTGGAGAAGTCAGAGCCACATTCCATTGGTGAAAAGCTGATAATGGCGCAAATGTCGCAACCCACCAACCCCCAACAAAAATGTGGCTCGCAACAAGCACGCAAACGCAAATACAAACTCAAACCACAAAAGCCAACGCCACTTCAAGGGGGCCAAATCAAAAATTAGAAAGAGTGCGAGTCAAGAATGTCGCTGCTCCGGTAGACAAGCTGCCTTTCAAAGTTCAAGTCCCGCCCTATTTTCTCGCGCCCGTCTCAGTGTTCCCTCACCAGGTCACTCAAGTTCCACGCCAATTGCCAGCCTCCTCTGACATTGCCGCGCGCCGTCTCAATGGCTTCGCTTTTGTACAAGCTCGAGCGTTGCTCACCTTGAACTTTGTCAGCTCGACCTTTACGTTGTGTCTGGCAAAGACCCACCCACAAGCTGTTGACCATTCATCTAATGGCACTCCGCGACACAAGGCCCGCTCGCGAGACACCATGTCTAAGAGTTAACAGCTAGCCTTTCAAGTCTTTCATCGGCGGCCATCTTTTCGGCTGTGAGCTCCCGAAGACCGCATCTTGCTGCATCTTCGCAGCTACTTCACCAACTGTAGCCCCAAGCGAAACTGCCGCTCAAGTGGAACCTGCGCGGACGACTCACGGAAGATCCAATCCCTGCAGGCGTCGGGAAAAACTTCCCGTCGTGAAGGTCTGCCACGGTTGACATGAGTTGCCTGACCGGATGACTCAAGGCATCACAGAGTTCACTGACCTCGCGTAGCTCCCCATCTGTTCACATACGACAGCAGCGTGGCCTTGAGCGAGTGACTGCTGACCGTTCCAACTCACTAGCAGCAAAACCGGAAGCCAGCAGAGCGCGGAGGAAGAGTACCGTTGACCGTCGCATAGCTAGGCACCAGCACAAAAAACAAAGCATTTTATCTTGAGAACCTAACTCCTTGCAGGCTTCAAGGAACTCCAAGGGCCATCTACCAAGAGGTCCAGGTGACCTTGCGCACACCTGCCACCATTGTATCACATGCGTTTGCCCGAGCAAAGCAAGAGATTTCCAAACCGCACAACATCGCAGGTGACAGCTCCTCTGCGCAAGACTATAAGCCGAAACTGGCCCCTTCCACTCCAGAAAAAAGGTGACAGATTTCAGAGCAGCTGATATGTTGAACGTGTGACCAATGTTCTTCGAGGTTCCAAGCAAGGTCTCGACCCTTGACGCTGGCTTGCCTTCATTCCTACAAAAGCATGCATAGTCGTGGGTCGGACAAACCGCAAGTCAGCTTATGCCATGCCAAAAACATACTCAGCGAACCTACTCTGGCTCTCAACGTCGAAGTCGCTTTCTTCCTGAAGAGATCTTCCAGCACACGCAAAGCTGAATCACCACTACCCACCCATTTGAGAAGCATTTTACCTGGCAAAGTGGCTTCGCGCTCTTGCTCTCTCTGTGTTCGGATGCTTGAGCAAATGATCTACACCGAGAAACTACTGATGATTCTACCGAGAAACTACTGATGATTCTCTTTTTTGCAGTTGGTAATGCATCCAACCGCTGTTTCTTGCAAGGAGGGGCACAACTAAGCTTCTATATGCAGGAAGCGCGGGCGCAACAGGGAGAACGGAAGTACCCATTACATCTCGTAAGACGGCATTGCTTTCCCATGGCTGTTTAGGAAAAGTATATGAATTTCCTAGAAACAATGCGCAATCAAGAGCCTTTTCAACCATAAGAGGGATGTGACTGAGCAACTTCTGCTCAAACTCGACTACTCCAGCCAGACATCCGAATCCTACCCCCCTTCAGGTCAGAGTTACATCAACTCTGGCTCACCCACCCACGCTCCCCTTGAGCTTGACAGAGACGTTCGCGATTCTCACTTGGAGTGGCGCGACAATGAAACATGATTGCATCAAAAGTTTCAAATCTAAGCCACAATTTGAGCCTGGTCTCGTCAACGGTATGGATTTCGACAAAGCGCAAGTGGGCCGCAGGAGCATTTTGGTTGCCAAGCCACCTTCAAACGGTGACGTTTGCAAAGATTGTAAACAGTCACTTTTACAGTAGACTGATTACGCAGCCAAGACACTAGGGAGCAGCTCTGCATCCTTTGGGGGTGCAGAAACATCCGGAGGAGCCTTTGGATCAAGGAAGCTCAAATCCAAGCCTCAAGACGCAAGTAGGATAAGAGCAACGCTGATCCTCTCCTTGGCCACCTTCCCCGGGCTTTGAAAAAGGCAAATTATGAAATCGCAAAGTCTTCTGAGGAGCGAACCCTGACCCCTTGCATAGATTGGGGCAGCTGGAGCCCAAGAAGCGACATTAAGGAGCAGTCTCCGCCTGTAACAGAATGATGAAGTAGAAGAAGGAGCATTAAGCTGAAAAAGGTGAAAGAACAATCTGGGAAGAGCCGAAACAATGGTTGACAACTTCGAACTTCCAATTCTCCACTTTAACACTGCAGAAGAAAAGACAACATATCTGTCAAGCAAAAGCGCAAAGAAAAAGACTATGACCTTTGAAACAATTGCTACTGTGCGAGAAACAAAAGACAAATTGGTTTTCTGTCAAAGGATCACGAGGTGCCTGACACGTGGACCATCAGGGACGGTCACAAACTCAAGATGAGATCTGCAAAGCCTTAGATTCAATGCAAGAGTTTCTTGTGCTGGAAGCAGAAATCTGCAGAACAACAAGCTGCGACGGCATGAAACTCAAAGCTATGTGTAGTCCAGCTGAGCTGTCTGCACAGCCACAGCAAGCGTTAGGAGCAGCGACGCAAACTGTCTTCGGCGAATCATGGATTTATGACCTTTGAAATATGTTGTGAATGCAATGAAAAATAGTGTCCTGACTCTGGTTCTGCCCCAAAACTATATATATATATGTCAAATCTAGTGATGGTGCTGTGAGCGTTAGGTTAGGATTTGCCCATGCACTGTTTCCAACGCTGCTTGCATGACACTATCCTACAACCGTTGTGCATGTCCTTTCTGCTTTGGAGCCGCAAAACTCCCACAATCTCTCAATCATGTAACCTGCAATGTCAACTTTCAACCTTGGGTGCTGGCTTCTGAGGCTGGCTTTGCTGCACTGCATGATTCGGCCTCGACCGAAGTGCAGCTTTCAATATCTTTTCAAGTTGCGTTCAAACTCCGTCAATGTTGTGCAAAGTGATGCATTTTAAGTCACTATGCATTGCGAGCTTTTTTAAGCAAAGCATAGGTGCATGCAACTGCCAATTGACTTGCTTGAAGGCAGCGGCCAAGGAATCCAAGGACCTTCTGGACGAAGCTGTGCCAGCTGTGGGATTGGGTCTGTAACCTCGCGGGCGAAGCTCCAGTCAGGACCGTGGATTGCCTTGGCAGTAAAGCAAAGAATAGTCTAGACCACTATCACTACCACGGCAATCTGCAATCCAAGGCTGGGAGTCCCGCAACCGCCATGATTTCCACCAGACCGGAGCCAAAGGTGATAAAACTGTATGCTTGACAATTAGATTTGCCCAGCTTCTGCTGATTTGACCATCTTTCGCACCCAACTTGGCCAAATGGCTTGAAAGCTTCATTCATCAACTCACAAGACTCAAGAAAGCAGTGCACGCTTAGATGCGCTTGCCACTGCTGGGCGGACACAAACGCGCTGATTGTTTTCACTTCTCATTTGTGTGATTCAGACACCTCGCTGCCGGGTGTGTGTTTGGACAATGTAAAATCAAAAAATATCAAAAGAATTGCCAAACATGACATGACCAACAATGCATTTGCAGACTGCTGCACTGCTGCCAGCTAGATTGGCCTGCAAGTCCGAGTCCAGCTTGATTGTCACCACCTCGGTGCAAATCTGGCCAGGTCATGCAGAAAGCTTTACGAACAAGCTTCAAAGTAGCGATGGCCTCCAACCTAATAAAATAGCAATGGCCTCCACCTATATAGTAGTTTCTTGTTTCTTTCTTCTGAAGAAAGAATATGGTTGCTGTTCAAACATGCCAGCAACACATGTTCTGTCTGGTCTCCGGACTGACCTCCATCGCAGCTCAAAAACATTGTGTTTCTTGCAGACTAGCTTTGGAGGGATTTGGATAATGGCAGTCAGTGTCTCAGAAATCAAGTCTTGGCACGAAACATCCAACAAGATGGAACCCACGAACCCGAATGCAAACATATGTCCAAATGACACTCTTGTAGGAAACTCTTGTGGGACACTCTTGTAGGAAACTCTTGTGGAGCACTCTTACAGGAAACTCTTGTGGGAAACTCTTGTGGGTCACTCTTATGGGACACTCTCTTGTGAGACACTCTTGTAGGACACTCTTGTGGAGCACTCTTACA